AAATAAATCAGAGTCACATGTGTAAACATTGTATAGTCTCCTTAGTGTAAGAAAGTGAAAGAGTAAATAAAATCTGAAAATTACAATAGATATTGTGAAAGGGGAAGAAACTGCTCAGAAGGAAAGAATAATTGGTTTGGGGAAAGGAGAAAAGAACAAAGGGGGGAAAAATATATATATATATACACAAGATAGCTAAGATAATTTTACTACTAATTTCTATTAGTTAATGCAAGGAGCAATTAATGCTTAACTATTTGATCAATTTTACATGCCTATATCTGGTAACCTGAGCTACTAGTTTGAAGATAACAATATCCAATATAATAATCATTATTAATTTTCTATCATCTTGTTTTGAAATTCTGTATTCTTGTTTTTTATTCTTTAAAATAAACAAATAAAATAAAAAACATTCACAACTCAACCCTACTCAACAATTCTATTCCTTAGCATATACCCTAAAATCTCTTGCACCTGTGCACAGCTACCATGAATATTCATAGCAACAGTTTGCTCATTACAGCCAAAAATAGAAACAACCTAAATCAGCAGAAGAATGACCAATAATTTGTGGTATATTTGTAACACGCAGCTGTACACTAAAATATGAATGAATCTTTGAAGTAGAATGTTCAATGAATAAAAGCAAATAAATGCCAGCAAACAGCAGAATTATACTCTTTTTAGAAAACTCAAAAATAGACACATTATTATTTAGGGAAGCATGAAGGAAGTCTTCTGTAAAAAGCAGGATAGTGATTACTTTTGAAGAAACAGCTAAGAAGTAAAACAAAGGTAGAGTTTCAGTGTTACTGATAACATTCTTGCTCTTCTCTGTCACTGAGATTCTTGCAGAATGAAATTAATCTCATTACTGTACTTTATAAAATACATGTTGGATTAAATGTATTACTACACAAAAATTTTAAACAATGAATAGAAAAGACTCAGTTGTGATTTTATAACTGTTGAAATGTGGGAATAAGAGCTGGGACTTAAGGTTTCTGGCCTAGGGAGTTGGGACAGGGTGATGCTTTTAGTAATAATGACTAATTGTACTAACTAGGAAAGGCAAAGGATTGAAGGAAATCACCACAACGAAAAGGATTTGGGCCTGGACCCCACTTACTTCCTAGCTTCTGTTCACTCCCCATTATGACACAAGGTCATAACAGCACTTCAAATCCCTTCAAGATCTGGGTGTTCTCTTTTCCCTAAGTAGGTTACTCTGGTATCGGCCATTGGTCCCTTTAGAGATTTGGCAAGTGTTTCCTGAATACACTGATGCTATCATGTAGCATTCTTTTCAAAGAGACCTAGGTTCCTCTTCAATCAATGGCCCTCATCTTGAACCTGAGCAAGGGATCGTGATTTCCTATTGCAATGGCTGGCATTAGCCTTTTGCAATATCTTTCTTGGCTGCCAACCTTTCTGGGTCTTTAGAACATCATGGCCTATTAACCCACCGCAATAGTTTCATGTGAGTGTTAGGTACCTGGGGAACACCCACGTCAGGGACAAAACATAGCAACAGGGCCATGTTGGTACTGGGGTGGAGATCTAGGATGGACTGTCATCAACACTGAAATGGTATTGACAGCTGCAGATGTGGATGAGGCAACGAAAGGATTCTGTAAGGCCAGCAAAGCAAGACAAAGACCAAACTCCTGAGTAACTGCTCAGGAAGATCAACATTTAAGAAGCAGATGCATAAGCATAGTGCTGTAATGTATTTCTTTTCTTCAGAATGACTTGTGTAATATGTTGCTCTCAGATTAGCCATCCTTTATTTTCTTGAAACATAAAGAAAGGTGGATTTAGGTTTTAATGTTGTTTTAATATGAAAAAGAGGCTTTTAGCTCGGCGTGGTGTCACATGCCTGTACTCCCAGCACTCAGGAGGCTGAGGCAGGAAGATTGCTGTTAATTTGAGGCCAGCCTGGGCTACATAAGCAAGTTCAAGGCCAGCCTGTACTACATAGTGAGACCCTGTTTCATTTAGACATCACCAGTATCTAAGTTTTATAAGACAGGAGACTAAGTTTACTGTCTCTAAAAGTAAACATATGTCCATTAAGAAACATATTTTTATCAACATAATAACTCATTAGTTTAATGTTTTTCTTAATCTTTTTTTAACTTCAGAAGAATCTTTTAGGAATACCTCTTGTTTTGAAGAAACATTTATCTGAAGTTCAGTATTCCCAGTTTTTCTTTTGTAAAATGCAAGAAAATTTAATATTCTGGATAACATATTTGTTCTGTTTATATAATTTAAAGATAAATAAAACTTGGTGCATAATCATGGATATTAAAAAAAAAAAAAGCATCAGGAGAGCCACAAAGGAAAGACCTTGGAAGAAAAGAAACAATGGCAGAGGAAGCTGAAGAGTCATCATCAGTGCAGGGCCACTGAGTACCGGCATGCAGATTCTGCACTGCACGACATGTAGAACATCACATATGAGCCATGTTATTAGCCCCCCATACCCCCAGAATTAGGCAGTGCACAACTTGCACAACCAGGTGCAGCAGAACTGTCTCTGGATCAAAAGCCACCACTGGAGAAATAAATGTGCCTGTTGACCTTGGCAATGTGAAGTCACCGGTGCCTCCACAAAGCAGTTTCAGTGGTGTGCTGAGCAGGGGCAACAGTACAGTAGGAGGATGTGGAGAACCAGTCAGACTGCTTCTAAGTTCAGGGTATCAAAGGACACCTGAGGACATAACCATGGTTGTCTAGCACAAGTCATAGCAGGATACAAGTATGTAACCACGACTTAACAGTGGACAAACACGCATGTGCTGGTTACAGCACTATACAAGAATGTGAATATGTTATAACAATCTGTATAAGAATTACACAATAAAGACACAGGCTGCTTTTGCACTCTGCTCTGCTCTCCTCCATGCTGCCTGCTGTTATTGCCAATGTCTTGCCCACGTGCATTTTTTTAACCTGGCTACCTCACCTGTGAAAAATCTCCCTAGGGCCCCTGAGCAGGCTGACAGAGAAGGGAATGGCCCTGAGTGGGACAGCGAGCACAACCTGCCCCCTTAGCAGCAGGGCTGCGAGGAGAGGGAATCTGGAGTGTGTGGTGTCCAGTTCTGCTACTCCCAGCCCTTATATTCAGCCACTCCTGCCTTCCTACCACGTGTGCACAGAATTCTGAATGTGGAGCCACAGCTTTTGCATCTCCACCCCAGGGCCTGGACAGCCTCTTCTCCAGAACCCCCTACAGCAGTCCCACCATGCTGTCTCCTCAGAATGGTCTCAGCCTTTGGACCACCCTGATCCCCCTACAAGTCTCCCAAAAGCATCTACTTGGCCACCTTCACCTGCTACCAAAAACAGGCAAAGCAGATGAACCAGGAGATGCAGTTTAAACCAGGAGTTGGGTCAACTCTTCAGCCATTCCCTTGGCCAGACTTTTTCCTCGGTAACCCTGCAGTGGGGAAACTGAGGCCTCAGTCTGCCCAGGCCACTTGCAGGCCTATTGCTTTGCACATTCTGGGACCCAAGACACAGCTGCCTATGATCACCCAGGTGGCAACAGATGCCACAACTGCCTGCCACCCGCACAGTGTTTTGTTTCTTTTCTATAAAATCATCACACTTAGTCCATACTAAAAAAAAAAAATTGTAAACTATCAAAAGGTACAATGAAGCAGGAAGAAACTCACTAATAATCTCATCACTTTCACATTGCTTCCGGGTTCTCTTTTCAGACTTTTTTTTCCTTGAGATAATATGTAAACAAGCTGCCACCCTCTTCCTCCCTCATATTGTTAGGGATTTTGATGTGTCTTGTGGGGGTTGGTTTTGGGGGGATTTTTTTGTCTTTTTTGAGACAGGGTTTCACTATGCAGTTCAGGCTGGCCTTGAACTCACTTTGTAGCCCACACTGACCTCCAACATGCAGTGATCCTCCTGCCTCTCTCTGAAGTCCGGGGATTACAGGCCTTACTGTTAGTATTTATTATCACTGGAAATTGTTTCATCAGCAAAACTGAACAGCCAAACATATCACTGCCTGGATAATTTACTGAAGCCACTGAGGTACTTCTTTTATACATTTTTTCCATTGTAACACAGTTATCTACCTCCAAATATAAATTTAGATTTAGATTTTTAATTTTCCCCAGCCAGGCACAGTGGCACACACCTGTATTCCCAGCATTTGGGAGGTTGAAACAACAGGATCATAGGACTATGAAGCCAGCCTGGCTACACAGTGAGCTCAAGACCAGCCTGAGCTGCATAGCAACACCCTGTCTCAGAACCCAAATTTTTAAAAAATTCCCCCCACAGGATAAATACCCCCCTTTTCTGGAGACATGCCCTCAATAAGTTACCCAGGCTGGCCTCCAACTTGTGATCCTTCTGCCTCAGTCTCCCCAGCAGCTGGGATTACAGGCATGTGCCACCATGGCCAGCTCCTAGGTGCCTGTCTTGATATGGCTCTTGATTTAATTCCTGGTAAGATGAGGCAGAGCTATACGAAAACCTTTAGCTCTAAACACACACACACACACACACACATACACACAAAAGCTGGGCATGGTGGCGCACACCTGTAATCCCACAACTCCGGAGGCCGAGGCAGGTGGATCGATGCAAGTTTGAGGTTTGCCTGGGCTGTACAGTTCAGCTTGAACTATATAACAAGACCTTGTCTCAAAACAGCAAAAAATAAAAAAAAAACAAAATCTTCCCATGCAGTTATACAGCACTGCATGTTTCTTTTGTAAGTAGTAAAACAAACAAAAAACTTTGTGATTATTAAACATTTGTTTCTCCTGCAAATCCAGACACCCCCTGAACATAGTGGCTTTGTCTGTCTTTTCTGCAGCACACAGGTGCTCAATAACCCTGCAGAGATGAATGGGTCATCAAAATACCAATGAGCATTTAGAAGACTTTAGAAGAAAAAAACGAACACCAACCCCACTCCCACTACCCCAACTTTGTGACTAGTGGCAGAATTCACACCCACATCAGTTGCATTTATTCTTCATACAAATATTTTAGTTTTATTTTTAAATCATTTACACATGTTCATACAAAGAAAAATAAATTTCAGGATGGAACCTGGGGACCATGGTACTTAGGCAAGAGGCTTAGCAGCCCTCAGTGGGGGTTCGGGCAACTCCCATGCAGGGGGCGGTGGAGCAGTCTACACTGCTTCCTCTCCTCCCTCAGTCCTCACCGTGTGGATGTAACATGAGAAGAGAGGATGTATCCACTCTCCCTTAGAAACATTCCAGGAAGTACAGCAAAGGCTTATGGTAACACGGAGCCCCTCTCTGCTAGGAATTTGGCAAGATGGAAATCTCAGAACCAACTTTCTACAAGAGTCCACACAAGAGTCAGCAGAGCTCCCACTCAGGTCTTTCCAGGAGTCCTGCTGCACTCGCTACACCCCTCTGCATTCCCGAGACAGAGCCCCTGATCTGACCTGGAGCCCTGAGTAGGCTCATTCCACACAAAAGCCTTCACCTACCCCACAGCCAACTGGCCCCAGCTGCCCATGAGGACCCCCTATGGTAACAATACTAGCGTGACTGCCTATGTCACACACTCGAGGAACCCAAGCTCACAGCCAGAAGGGGCGGTCCAAGAGTAGCAGATCTGTGAGCTCACATATACCAGTGCTCACCTCTACAGAGCCCAAATCAAATCCATCCTTCTGCCCAATGGGCCAACGCCTACCATATCCCAGCCCAGACAGAACCATCATTACAGATGCCCAGCAGAACCTCCTAACACAACTGCCCACAGAAGCTGGACTCTTACCAATTCCCAGTCACATGGGGGGAAAGACAGACATTACAAATGTGGGAGACCCTATCAGAAATGGCAGCTGATGACAACAGTTACTCAAATCCTTGGGTCCTACCCAGAAAGCAGCACCAAGAAAGGGCGTGATGAGCATAGAGAGACCTGTGGCTGGATGCACAGCCCCTGAATTACCAAGGGACACAGACAACAGCTCATTTTCCTACAATTACGTAGGAGCTAGATCCCAGACTATCCACCCCTACGTTGAGGCAGCCCCTGAGAAGCCATACCGCTTGTGTTCGTCAGCCCACCCCCTTGGGAGGCCCATTGCGGGAGAGGGTGTCACGTCCAGGGCGGAGACGCCTCCAGGTGGGCACTCACAGGGCAGCCCGTCCCACTGTCACTGGGGTAGGCCAAACAGAGCTAGGAGGGCAGGCAGGTCCCGAGCATCTGCTGCTCTGTAGGCATCACTCTGGCCTAACATAGACAACGCCAAACGCAGGGTACTCCAGATGTTCTCTGACATGGCGCCCCCCTCCCCCCGAGGGCCCCGGCTCTTCCTCTGCATGTTCAGGGCCTCCAGAAAGTGCTCCACAGCCTCCCTGTAGAGAACAGGAGAAATGAGAGTTGGTGAGCACGGCAGCAGAGGGAGGAGGCAGGCTGGGGTAGGGGAGAAAGCAGGGGTTGGTCAGCCAAATGGCAGGACCACAGGAGCTAGGCCCAAAGGCAGAAGAATGTATCCACGCGGGACTCGACAGTCCTCTCACCGGTGGGCTCCCAGGTTGATGCAGCTGATGCCCAAGTTATAGCGAGACCGGATGTAGCCAGGCTGCAGCTCAAGGGCCCTGCGGTAGGCTGCCACTGCCTCCTCACTCTGGTTCCCGTTGGCCAGGGTGGCCCCCAGCTTATTCCATAGCAAATAGTCCTGGCATAGGGACGGAGAAAGGCTGGGAACATGAGTGGGCTCACATCAAGTTCTGCCCATTCCTCCCCTGCTTCACGACTGTTAGCTACTTACTATGTGCTACCAACACCACTATCCCCCTCAGCAGTTCCTGCGTGGCCACCATGTAACCCCCAACCCCACATCGACCCTCCTTCTCCCAGCCCTCCCAAGGCAGCTGTCGCCCGCATGCTGAGTGAACCAGCCCATGCACAAGTGACTCTTCCACAAGGCCCTGAGCCATCTCCCACTGCCATTTCTTCCCTGAGGCTCACATTGGGACGAACACTGAGGGCAGCTGTGAAGCAGTCCACGGCCTTGTCATACTCCCCACTCAGGTTGAAGAGCACCCCCAAGCCACACTGTACGTCAGGGTCGATGGATGTTGGGTCCAGGCGCACAGCTGCCAGGAAGAGCTCTTTTACCTCAAGAAACATGGAGCTGGATGAGGAGAAAAGAACATCAAAAAAGCAAACAGACGGATACATCTACATTCCTACCCCTCAAGTCCTTAAAGATCTATCAAGGTGTCAGCCATGCCAGATTCCGACTCAGTGCGGCCCTGCAGAATGCGGAGCTCCTTCAAGTTGCTCCTGGGATTCTCACCCCACTCTCAGGCCCCTGTGTCCCAGTCTGTCCAAACTTCCAAAGTGAAGGCCACACCCCTGCTAGGTGATCACTCCTCATCCCAGGAACCCCTCCACACTCACTCAGACAAGAGAGACCCCAAGATCCGCTTGCTGGAGTCTGGTCCTGCCCCTCCGGCCCCTTCTTCAGCAGACGCCACCAGGTGGGCGTAGGCGGGGGTGCAGCGCAGCCAGTCTCGCAGCGTTTCACAGGCCTGGCGCTGCAGGGACTCGTTGGTGAAGCTGACGGCCAGCGCCATGAGTGCTGTCCGATTATCTGGCTTCAGCTCCAGACACCTGTTGGACAGGGATGAACAGGGGTGGTGCCTGCAGAGACACTGGCACCCATCAGCACCCCAAGATCTAACAGTGAGTTAACAGTCTCAGATCAGAGAAGGGGAAAGTTTTAGCAGCCAACAATCCCATAGGATCCCACAAATAAAATCAAAGTCTAGTGACAGACTAGAACTAGTTCTCACCAACTCACTCCAAAACTGAGCATTTCATCATGAGAAAACACGTGAGTCGGCAGCCAGAAAGAAAACAAGGATCCGGTTCTGAGCTCCTATCAGAAGGCTATGCACCGAGCCCTCGAATCCCCCAGCCCTCGCCCTTTAGCTACTCACCTCCGCAGCGCACTGATGGCTAAGAGTTCTTGCTCATTCTCGGCCTGGGTGGTACCCAGGTACTGCCACGCCTAGAGGGAAGCCAACAGATCCTGTCACTGCTGCAGCTGCCTTTCCATCTTCCTGCTAGCTTCTTCCACTTACCCTCTTACTCCTTCAGCCCCCAGCCCAGGCCCTCAGCCAGGCTCTAACCCAGTCTTGAAGCCACCCTCAGCACAGGAGGTAGCAGTCAGAAAGAAGACCCACTCACTTCCATGTGCTTAGGATCCTGCTGCACAGCTGCCTCAAACAGCAACACCGCATTTGGCAGGTCCCCCTCCTGAAGTCGCCGCAGCCCTTCTTCGAAAGGCTGAGGGTGATCACGCAGGGGATTCTCCTCCTCAAAATGGTAGCCCTGCGAGGGAGGAAAGCAAGTAAGAAACTGTCTAGGGCTGGCTGTGGTGGCACACGCCCGTAATCCCAGCCCTTGGGAGGCTGAAGCAGGAGGATCTTGAGGTCAAGGCCAGTCTGGGCTACATAGTGAGTTCAAGGCCAACGTGAACTACATAGCGAGACCCTGTCTCAAAAATAAAAAAAGAAAAAGAAAAGAAAGAAACTCTCTAGGAGGGATCATTACAGTCACAGCAGCAAGGACAATGATCAGAACAGATATGCAGAAGCTGAAGGCTTCCACACAGGCATCCGAATTAAATGCTGGCCAACTCTCCATATTATAAAGATCTCCTATGACTCCAACAACTAAGGGCAGGTAGCCTGGATAGAACAAAAGATCCCGAAAGGAGACTGCTGTGAAACTCTACTCTCTTCTAGCTAGGAATTCTCATTTGAGAAAAGAGTTATCATACTACCTACAAACCTCTGTGGACTGGCATTAGATGTTAAGCAGGAGAGTAAGAAGGAAGTCACCAGTAAGCCTGATGACTTGGAATAAGAAAATAAAATACTCCTTGGGGAAAACAGTTATCATCACAAAAACAATGCACAAAATGGAAACAAGTTTAAAATACAGTAAAGAACAAACCAGAATGAAAACTGTACCTACGAAAAACATGACACCCTATTTCATCATTACACAGAAACTGGTGAAGAATCAGAAACAAATATTATCAGCAAAGTTTTAAGCCATTCTAAACCATCAGTGGCAAATTACTCTTGTCACAAAAGAAAATTAAACCATTACAATGGAGTTCAAGAGTGAAATATGCTACAGCAGATGGATTTAAGGTAGAGACATAAAAAAGTATATGGTGATAATTATTATGATCTTGGGATATCTTTCCCCATAATTTTGTTTTTTGGGAGTTTTTTTGTCTTTTTGAGATACTCTGGCTATGCAGTTCAGGCTGGCCTTGAGCTCACTTTGTAGCCCAGGCTAGCCTCGAACTCATGATCCTCCTGCCTCAACCTCTCGAGTGCTGGGATTACAAGCGTGTGCCATCACGCCCGGCATAATTTTGGTTTTTAACTAATACACATATGCAGTTCATAGCTGATTACATTCATGGCAGGAAGTTGGTACATGTGCATTAGGGACATCTTTGTACAATATTAAAAACTCAGCTGGGGATGTAGCTCAGTGGTAAAGCATGTGCTTAGCATATGTGAGATCCTCGGTTCATTCCCCATTATCACACACACACAAAATAAAACCTCAACTGGCAGAAAAGGATCCTAGACTAGCTTTTTGCCAAATTTTTCAGTAAACAGCCAAGCAATAAATATTTTACGCTGCAACTACCGAACTGCATCACAGTAGTACAAAAGCAGCCACATATAATATGAAAGAAAGAAACAAAGAAACAAAGAAAATTGTCTTTTTATTTTTTGGGCGGAGGGGGGTTTCTGGTACCGGGAATCGAACTCACGACCTCGTGCTTGCCAGGCAGGTGCTGTGCCACTGAGCTAAATCCCCAGCCCCCAAAAATTGTCTTTTTAAATAAACTTATTTATGACCACTAAAATGTGAGTTTAATTTTTGTGTCACAAAATATTACTCTTTTATTTTTATTTTTTCAACCATTTAAAAATGTTAAAATTATCCCCAGCTACTGAACCATGTAAAACAAACACCTGCCGAATTTATTTCACAGGCCTGGTTTGCTGGCCTCTGCCCTAGACTCACAGAATGCAATTAAACAGATCCTTTTACACCCAACCTCAACTGCTGCCCATCATCAATCCATGCTGTAACTCACCCTGTGGGAAACAGAAGTTATTGCCATCTATAATGCAATTTTCTAATGAATGCAATTTCTGCCTCTCAAAACTAGTGGGAGCAAGGCCAGCGATATATCTCAGTGGCACAAGTGCCTGCCTGGCAAGCACAAGATCCTGAGTTCGGATTCCCAGTACCCAAAAACAAACAAACAACAACAACAAAAAAAAAAACCCACACTTATCAAAACTAGTGGGAGCATCAAATGAGAATATTAACCAAAGCCTTACCAGAAAGCTTAAAATACTATTATTAATAAGTATTATCCTCATTGTTCTAGGTACTTCCTTGAGGGACAATGGCCTGTATGTGACAGCCAGGGGCGATCTGAATATTCTTCATGTGTTTTCCGTAGACAGCATAGCAAATCGATAGCATCATCCTTCAGCCACAGCCTTCTCTAAGTTCCCTTTAGACCTTGGTATCTCTTCCCTTGAGGTTTCATCAATTGCTAACCAGAGAGGAATTTTTCAACACTAAGCCAGGCATAGACACATACCTATGACCCGGGCACTCTGCGATCTGAGGCAGGAGGATGAAAAGTTAGAGCCCAGCATGGGCAACTTGGCAAGACCCTGTCTCAAAATAAAAAACAGCTGGGGATGCAGCTCAGTGTGAAGACCTTACGTTCAATCCCCAGTATGGGGGAAATATTTGCATAGATGGACAAAGAATCCTCTGAAGGAACCTTCAAACCCCTACAACACACAAAATAAGCTTGACATCACTGTTACATTCTGAAAACCCTAACCAAATCCAAAATCATTATGACTGAACTGTTCACTATCAGTGAGCTATGAAGTACAGTATTTTTTACAAAATATTAATGCAAGCTTTTCTAGTTCCAATTTTACAATACCTCAAGGTATCAATAACATTAAATGGGGTTCAAGAATCTAAAAATCTAATATTTTTAAGCTTTTAACTAAAAAATGTATTCTGCCCAGCATGTCACAAATACGTAAGTAGTAAATGCTAACAGAAAATGCTCATACAAAGTGAATACTATGCCTACATTTATCAAAACCATGGAAATTTTTATCTAAAATGTGTAACTTGCCACTCGTAAGTTAATAGGGTTTATGCAACTTACCAAACTGTTAACACAGAATACTAAAAGTGTTGTCTGTAGGTAAATCTTTCCATTCGTTCCTTATCCAAATTCTATAGGAAGAACTCAAATCATAGCAAAACACAGAGCAGGGTCCCAAGAAAGTTCTCCTTTACTGTACCACACGAGTAAGTTTGGGGTCAGGGATACAGCTCAGCGGCACAAGCGCCTGCCTGGCAAGCGCAAGGTCCTGAGTTCAATTCCCAGTACAAAAAAAAAACAAGTGTGCACACAAGTAAGTTCTTAGAAAAACCCAGATCAGAATGAAATATAAACAAAATCATGTATTTTCCTAGTACTCAATTATCACTGGCTCTCAAAACCTAAACTCTCTTACTGTCACTGTTGCTTTGTTGTTGTTGTTGTTGCTATTTTGGGGGCAGTACCTATTTTATGTTAAGAAAGAATCTTGCTAAGTTACTAAGTTGCCCAAGCTAGGCTCAAACTTGTGATATTCCTGCCTCAGCCTCTCAGGGTGCTAGGATTACAGCGTGCACCACCACTCCCTAACCTTTCTGGAGTTATCCTGAACTGAATGCTGCCCGGGCTTTGCACAGCTCCCTCACTAAGCCGAGGTCTATTCCTACGCCCTGGTATGCATCTCAGACTGATACTAGTCCCATAACCCTTCCCCAACCACATGAGCTGAGAAAAGGCATCACCCAAGTCCTGGTTTGCCTTTTCTAAAACCAAGCAATTCTTTCCCTCTCTCCTCATGTTTCAGTTCAGGAGCTCATTAGCCACATCCCCAAATGCCCTATAACCTCCAAGTAGGACCCTGACATAACTTACACTTCTAAGTCAATAGCACATGCTATATGCAAAATTCAACCATCATTTACCGCTAGCTGCTGGGAAATTTTTCTAACACTTAAATTATTTAATTCTTTAAAACCCTAAAGAATGGGCATGTGGCTGGTACCTCCAAAAAGAGATTAGCCTGTAATCCTAGCAGTCAGGAGGCTGAGGCAGGAGGATCACCACATGTTCAAAGCAAGACTGGTGAATTCAAAGCCAGCCTGGACTACATAGTAAGATCCTGCCTCAAAAAAAAAAAAAAGAGTTTAGAATGTAAATTGAACTTCTTCGCTAAAAAAAGAACAGTAGCTTATATACTAAGGTTTGGAGGCAGGGAGACAGTCCCTATCAAAAGATTCAGGAATCTTATCACCATGCCTGTCAGACCTCCAAAGCAGAGCTACTTCCTCTGTGTTCTGAATGCACCATGTGCACGCATCCGCATAACACCACGCCACTGGGCTTTCATATTTAATAAGAGTATCTTATCGGCCTTTGTATCTCAAGAATAAAGCATACATTCAATTGCTAAAAGACAAGGGCAAAAGTATGATTCAGTTTTCTTTTCATAGAAAGCAGCTTAAGAAAATACTGAAATGATCTTTGTGTGACTATTCTACAAATTCACGATTATAGCAAAGTCATTAAAGAAAACTCTACAACCTGGGTTCCTACCTTATCATAAGAAGAAGACGTGAGGTCGTCATAGTCAGAGAGCCAGGGATGAGCCTCAGCGTCTCGCTTTGCCATCTCCTCCAACTCTGCCTGCAACTTGTCCCAGAAATCGACATCAGACTGTAAGGAAGGGAAGGTGAGTAGAGAGAGGAGAGCCTTCATAACCATCCTGCACTGCCCTTTTGCCTCTGGGATGCATTCCCTGGGCACCAGCTTTTAAATTTCAGGGTGTTAAGGGACCACCTGAAGAGCCTTTTCCAAATGCAGATTCCCGATCCTACCCTAGATTCTCAAACAGTAGTCGGGAGTGATGCTCAGGAGTCTGCACTCTGAACAGCACCTACAGAATCCTTCATAATTCTGACCCAGATGAGCAGGACATTAAAAAACACAGTGTTCACCACCTTCCGTGTTAATGCACCACTCTCCCCGAGGGAGCACTTGCTCGCAGGGAGCCCACTCCCACATATCTGCTCTCACCTCTATGGCTGATTTGGCTCGCTCAAACTCCATGTCAAGGGCAGATGTGTTTACTGGCCTTGTGAACTGGTCAACCCAGGCATCTGAAGTACCCTGTGACAAAGACAGAAAGTCAGTACCAGCGCCATCAATCTTCTTCCCACTAACAGAGGCTAAAGACCCACTACACACCACCAGCCTGGACCCTGAGAACATGCTCAGGTTGTCTTTCCCACCCACTCAGGACCTGGATGCTACCAAAACAAGCTAACAATAAAATCCCTTTCCCATCTGGAACCACAGAACACTGAGGCCCAGAGCCAGGGTACCAGCTGGCTGAACCAGGCTGGGAAGTGACAGTGTCCTACCTGCTGCTGTATAAACTCTGCTGCCCACTGTTCTGCCTGAGCTCGGCCCGACCCTGCAACGGACTCCAGGGACACCTGGCCCTCGCCAATCTGCCGCACGAATTTCAGGAACTGGGGCACAGAGACACACATAGGCACCTTGGGAGAGGACTTCCAGGTGTGCACTTAACCATGCCCAAGAGGACTCTGCACTCGTCCCTCCCCTTCTACCTGAAAACAACATATGCTAAAGGCCCTGAAAAAAATCAGAGAGCAAAAGGACAAGGGTTTCTGCCTCTAAAGATTTCAGAGGCACCAGAAAAGACAAAAGGTTAGTTGTCAAAGAAAAAAAGGGAAAGAATATTAAAAGGAAAAGCCAGAATCCTATGTCTCTTTCTCTAGAAAGAAAGGAACAGACCTATAACCTCATCTCCTCTTCAAAGTAGAGAGAAGCAGCCTTGCCTTCCAAGACCAGCTCTGCTGAGCACAGCAAGAGTGGAACGTCACTCACCTCAGAGTTGGCCAATTTGGGATCATCAACCTTGGCCACAAAGTCACTGGCCGTGTGCTGCAGATCCTCCTCAGGACGATACTCATCATACCTGGAATAGGTGAGGAAACCTAATCTCACAGCTCAGTCTGCTGGCACCTTCCCCAAGCTACTTCCCCCAACCCTGGCCCGGGGCAGCTACGGGTCCTTAGGAAAAAAGGTGCAGGAAACAAAAATCGACCTTGCTGAGGACCCACAAACTCTAATTTACATTTCGGCGGACATTTCCGTGGAAGAGGGAAAGCACTATATTAGTTACATTTTTTTAACCTCTCACTTTCCCAAACATAGCTATCTATGCGGTAGGAGGAACCGAGAGCAGCAACGTTAAACTGAAAACAGGGGACATAAAGTTATGCACTTTTGGTGGGGTAATTAGGATTCTTACCTGTAACTGAAATATAAACTCATAGGAGTAACAATACAAGTGGAAACATCAATAAATAAAGTTTTTAAAAAGGGATACAATTTGAAAGAGGCCAGGAAAACTCTGATACGCTACTCCTTTCACAGGAAGCCAGACTCACAGGAAGCCAGACCCACAGGAAGCCAGACCCACAGGAAGCCAGATCCACAAGCAAGCCAGACTCACCAGTGGTCGGTGGTGGCTGCTCCCTCAGGTTCTCCCAGCCACAGTTTCTCCTCAGACTGCTCCAGATACTCCTCAGCCCAGCGGGCAGGCGACACAGACAAGGGGTCTGCAAGGAACAGCATTGGGAAGTCACCCCAGGTTCAATGTGGGATTGAAAAAGTAATATACATCCTCAACAGATGCTCTAACCAAACCAGATCAGACAATACCACTACTCTCGCAGAGACCACCGGGTCAAAAGAAAATCCTAGTACGTTTGCAATATCCTCTCCAGTGGTCAAGGGGCCATCTCCACTCCAAGGGGCCTACGAGGGGATTATGTAATCGGAGATCAAATGAGGTGGCTCCAGAAACGTTAAGAACCAAACTCTTGAAGTATACGGGCCTCAGAAAGAAACCCCATGACTCCCAGCTTCCTCATCGGTACCTGCAGCCCAGTCTCGCTCTACTCACAGCCACATCACCCCCACCCCAGTCCATCGAAATATGCCAGCCAAGACCCTGAGAAGCAGAGCGCTAGGCTAGATGAGAGACACGTGGCTCTGCTCTTCCCACTGGATTTTTTTTCGTTTTTCAATCAAGACATAACATACAACCATGAAAGCACAGAACCTGTGCCAAACTTAAGCACACAACTGGCTGCTGCGCAGGAATGCAGCCGCTCTCACATCACCACCCAGACCAAGTCCCAGGTTTGGTTTCAATTTTAGGAGACCAGGGTTGTTTTGTTTTGTTGTTGTTGGTTTTTTGGTACCAGGAATCAAACTCAGAATCTTGTGCTTGCCAGGCAGGCACTGTGCCGCTGAGCTATATCCCCGGCCCCATGTTTTTAAGTATAATTACAAAAAGTATCTTGGGCGAAATATTTATACCATCTGAAGAAAAACCAGAGTGTGCAAAAATTATCTTAGGAACTATAGTGACAAAGGGCACCGCAGCAACATCAGAATAAACATTATCAAGGCACAAAGTAAAGTGCGCTGAACTCTCTCAACCTCCAGGACTTTGTCCTACTGACCTGGGGCAAGAGAGAGGAAAAAAAAGCAGTTCCTACAGAGCAAGTGAACACCTACAGCCTCACAAGTCAGACACTGACAGTCACCCAGTCTCTGCTACTGATATGAAGACATGTCATAGCTTTTAACTTTTTTTTCTTTTGAGACAGGGTCTTGCTATGTAGTTTTGACTGGCCTTGAATGTACTATATAGCCCAGGGGGGGCCTTGAACTCAAGGTCCCCCTACCTCAGCCTCCTGAGTGCTGGGATCACAGGCGTGAGCCACCACGCCCAGCCTGCTTTTAACTCTTGAGAAGGCAGATTTAGCACCTCGGTACTAGTGTACAGCAACACTTTCCATTCCATTTGAACTGAGACTTTGCCTGAATAATTTCAGCAAAGACCTCAAAATCTAAGAAATGTTAAAATCTGAAAAACAAAGGCTCAAGGGTCTCAGAATATGTAAGTAATATGTCTCCTGAAATTAAAAATACGCTTTACCTTTGGTCGTGGATCCCGTCTCCTACAAGCACACTCAACAATTACACTCAGACTCTGCTCACTAACTCTTACAGATTCCTACAATGCTTATGCTCCACCAGACTGCTGGTTCAAGTGTGGAGACAAAAAGGAGATACTTAACACCCAACAGACCTCATCACACCTCCCAGGTTCTCAGTCCCATTCTGTGGAAAAGTAGTCCCTGCACCTTGCTCTCCAGTGTTTCACTAAAGTGTATTCTGGCCGCATGGACTCCTCAAGCCACAGAACAGATGCTCCCCAAATTCCCAGCGACATTTCTGTCAAGTGCTCCTCACAATGACAGGAAGCAACAGGAAAACTCAAAAGCACCTAAACTTCACAACAGACATGAGGCACGTGCCGGGGAAAAAAATTCCACAAGAGAGGAAAGTCATCCTCAAATTACTATAATTTGGCATCTGGCCATATTTACTAGCCACAAAACACACAATTTCCTGGCACTGGGAATCCGCTCCAACAAAAGAATCAAATAAAAATACCAGAAAAGTAACAGCCAATCTTCCAAGTGTCTTTGAGAAATCCTCACAGAAAAATCAGATTCACTTGCATACATCTGAAATTGAAGAAACCAAGCCCAAGGAAGGGAGGGGAGTGTCCTAGGTCACAAAGGTTAGTAGGAGTTAGAACCAATGACCTACATCAGATCCAATTCATGTTTGCCTCATACAGTCCCTCATTATGTATTCATTCTATCTAGGTCAAGCTCAAAATCAGAAACTCGAAGCTTCCTATTCTTATCAATGAAAGTTTGTGTTTGCTTAATAGCACTGACAGGAAAAAAAAATGTATGTTCTGGAGTTACCTACCCCCACAGAAATGCCAACTCTACCACTTACTGTGTATCTAGACAAGTTACTCCCCAGTCTACATTTCTACTCCTTATCTATAAAACAGAAATAATAATAGATATTCATAGGGGGTTCTCTGACCAAAACACACAGTAACAAATATTGGTGACAATCATTACTATCTATTCATAGCAAACCCACACACACAAAAAAGAAAGCATCACAGTGAGACTATTCCTTTTATTCACAGCGTCTCCTCCAGGGGCAGTTTGTTGCTGATCTTCTGCTACTGCTGTCCACTCCTCTCCCTATGCAAGTGCAGGCTGACATCCCACGATCACTCTGTGAGCCTCACGTCCCACACCAACTGAGCCTGTCTAAAGTCAAGAACACTAAAAGATGTGTTTTATCTTCAGATCTGAGCAAACACAAGATGCAGAATTTTATTTGGCCAGAAGATTTAGGATGGGAAGGATTTATCAGGAAACACAGCAGGCTGAAAACTGAGTCTCCCATGGTGATGGAAGAGTTCTGTATCTTGATTTGAATGGTACTTAGGCAAATCTAAAAATAGATAAAGCTACATGAAACTATTCATATACATGCACACATGGACATATAAAAATAGTGAAATCTAATAAATATCTGTGGGCTGTAAAGACAAAGTCACTGAGTCTGATACTGAACATAACCAAGAGTTATAAAAACTGTCACCATCAGGGAAAACTGGGTGAAGGGTACACAGAACTTTCCTATGTACTATTTTTGTTTTGTTTGCAACATCCTGTGAGACTGTAATTATTCCCACATAAAAAATTAAAATAAAGAAAACTGAGCTTCGGGGCTGGGGATTTAGCTCAGGGGCTGGGGATTTAGCTCAGCGGCAAAGCGCCTGCCTGGCAAGCGCAAGGTCGTGAGTTCGGTTCCCGGTACCGGAGAAAAACAAAAACAAAACAAAACAAAACAAAAAGAAAACTGAGCTTCTAGGTTCCTCTTAAACTTGATTCTAGAATCTTAGTAACAGGGATTTTAAAATAATAAGAATTTAGCTTGGTATGGAGGTGCACACCTATAATGCCAGCACTGAGTAGGCTGAAGCAGGAGGACCGTGAGCTGAGAGGCCAGCCTACACTCCATAGCAAGTTCAAGGACTATGTCTCAAATAAAATAAAATAGCAAGATTTTAAAAAGTACTACCTTCTCTTATCTCAAATCCACTTCATCCAAAAAGCAATAATAAGCTATATCATTTGATATATCAATCACAAGTGCTACAAGAAAGATAAAAAAAATAAATTATGAGAAAATCAACTTCCTTTACCGCTTTCTCTCAGATTTCCATTCATTACCAAAGTCTTACTACATGCAAAGCGATGTACTGCTACAACAGGACACACTTAGGGCAGATTTCACACAGCTCAACTAGCCCTCCTGACTGCCCACATCCCTGCCTCTGTGGAACAGGCACAGTTCCACAAAAACGTACAGAACAGAGGAGCTCTCCAAAGAGGACTCAACAGGTGAGACAGGTCCAACACGTTTTCAAAAGTTGTTTAAAAGTTAAGGAAGATTACATGGGTTGCAAGAAATTTGGAAAATGAACAAAAGTCTCACCCATCTTCAAGGCTCATAACACTGATTTACTCCTGCCTGAGTTACTGAAAAAATGACTGCTGACCATACCTTACAACAGAACTCATTCCGTTAAGAAACTGCACTTAAGTTTGAGGTTTATGTGAAAACTGAAAGTTTGTCTGGCTCCAGATCTTTGCTACAGCTCAGATTTTAACCTGAAGCAATCCCACAGGGAAGATTCTCAAGTTTAAGCTGGGCGTGGTGGCACACGCCTGTAATCCCAGCACTCGGGAGGCTGAGGCAGGGAGGCTGAGGCAGGAAGATCGTTGCAAGTTTGAGACCAGCCTGGGCTACAAAGTGAGTTCAAGGCCAGCCTGTCTGCATAGTGAGACCCTGTCTCAAAAAGACAGAAAGGAAGTTTAATGTAACAGTTACAAAGTATGGACCGTAGAACCAAAAAGGCATGAATTTCAATCTCATTTGTGTTATTGAATACTTTGGGAAAATCTTTCCAGATCTCTTTCTTCATCCACAAAATGTTAACATTTTATATTACATGGAAGCCAGGCATGGTGGCACATACCTGTAATCCCAGCATCAGGAGGCTGAGGTAGGAGGATCATTGAGAATTTGAGGCCAGCCTGGGCTACAAAGGGAGTTCAAG